AGGCTAGCCAGAAATATGTCCCCTGCTCTGTGAGCCCCGCCTTGCTGTGGGTTAAGCATGGTCTTTTCTGACAGTAGTTCTGGGCTACGCTCCTGATGCCCAACTAGAAACCTGTGTGCCAGAAGTCTCCTTTTATCATAGGAGAAGGGTGGTCCGGGAACCGGAAAATTGTCCCGCAGAGGAAAGGAAAAGAAGGCCCATCTACAGGCTGTCTTCAAAGGTTATCTCATTCCCTCCTTGAAAGCCTGTGAGGTGTCATCATCCTCTGTGTCCAGATCAGTGATGGCGAACCTATGACATGCGTGTCAGAGGTGACACGCGAACTCATTTTTTTGGTTGATTTTTCTTTGTTAAATGGCATTTAAATATATAAAATAAATATCAAAATTATGTCTTTGTTTTACTATGGTTGCAAATATCAAAAAATTTCTATATGTGACACGGCACCAGGGTTAAGTTAGAGTTTTTCAAAATGCTGACACGCCGAGCTCAAAAGGTTCGCCATCATTGGAACCCGAGGTTCAGAGCGGTGAAGTGACTCACCCAGGGGCACAAAGCCACCAAATGGTAGAGCTTGTGTTTGCATTCAAATTTGCTGGGGGGAAGGGGAGTGGGGGTGGGGATGGAATCAGAGAGAAAAAGGAGGGAGGGGCAGTGCAGGGTCAACAGTTAGCCCTACAAGCCCCCCGCTGCTGCTGAGGATCCCAGTAGCCTCAGGAGCCTGGGCCAGTCCTCTGGCTGCCCGGAGCCTGGGCCCTGGGTTTTCTCCTTGCCTGTGGCAGGAAAGGTTGCTGGGCAAAGGCAACAGGCTGGGGGAGCAGAGGCCCAGAGAGGGGCAGCTGGCCAACGTCACAGGGCAAAGCCTGGCAGAGCCAGGTCTGCTGACTGCCGGCTCGTGCTGTCATCCTGTCCTCTCGGGCCAGAGAGGTGCTCCCAGAGGGAGGAGTCGGACGCTCCAGGCTATGCGGTCATCTCAACCTGGGTACCAGGGTTGGGAGCACAGTCCGGGGCAGGTCCATCCTCGCTCTCTCACTGGTCGTGCACTCAGGATCCAGGGAAACCCAGGGTCCTCGGGGGCTTGGAGACGGTTGGTAGAGCGAGGGTGCCTTCCTCCCACGTGGGACCGTCTGAGTGCATGGGCAGCTGCACTGAAGCTGGTCCAATTTGGAACCCGAAGCAGCCAGAAGGGGAGGGTGAGCTGGGCCCTGAGAACACAAGTTGTGGAGTATCAGTGGCCTGCAGGCAGCTCCTAGGCAGCCTCCACTGCCTGGTGGCAGCCTCTGAAGATGGGCCCAGGGAAGACTGGAGAACCTGCCAGCCTGAGCCCCTGAGCCATTATAGGGTCCGAATCGATGGTGATGGTTTCGGGACTGGTGCCCAGGGTGGCTGCAGAGGGCGATCCTGAGCTGCCCCAGCTGTGGTGTTTATTCAGAGGCCCTGTTTGAGGTGGAGAACAGGGACTCTGTGGGCTGGAGCCCCACAGTCTAGACGGAGTTATGATCTCGGTTCCCTCTGTACCTGTGGCTTGTGACCTGGGAGTGCATCCTCCGAGCTTCAGAGGAACCCGGAGGGCTGGTGAAGGGAGCTGTGACCACTGACTACAAATTTGGCCGTGGAGGAGCTGATGCCAAGTTGGCTGGCAAAGTGTCTGGGTGAGATGCCCAGGCAGCTCCAACAGTTTGGGGGGCTTGCCATCTGCTCAGCCCTGTCCACCTGCGGTCAGGGCTGGAGGACAGGGCTGCACCCTGACTGTGGGAGGGGGAACTGTATGCAATCAGATGCTAGCAATGGGTCTGGTTCCCACTGCTGCTTAAAGGGCCAGTGTGGGGTGCACCATGCCATACTGCTTCCTGGGCATGGGTCTCCGCGCATAGTCCCTCTATCTGGCACAATGCCTGCCCCTGCTATATATAGGGAGGAGCTCAGAGCCAGTGAAAGAACTACAGCCCCACTGAAGGCCCTCAGGGAGCCCTGGGGCCTGGAGCAGGCTGCCGATCTCCCCAGAAGCTGAGGGTGGCAGCCTCAGAGTAAGAACCTGGGTTCTCCCTCGGTTCCTTCCCCCTGAGATCCATGTAGACAAAAGGCAAGAGAGAGACTCCTTTGAAGGGAAGGAGCAGGGATATGGTTTCTCTCCCTCTGGCCTCAGGGAGACAGGTTTGTGCCTCTGGGCTGGCTGGGAGGGAGGCAATGGCAGGAAGGAGGAGGCCAGACAAGACACAACCTTGAGAGTCGCTGCGCTGCGGGAGAGGGGGCCAGAGCTGGAATGTTTGCTCAGCGTCTGGCTCTTGTCTCCATGACAAGAGGACCCACGCCTGACCTTCAGGGTGGCAGGCTCTAGTTAACGGGTCTGCTCTGGCTGATGCCAGTTTTCTGGCTCCTGGTGAGGTTCCCTGGTTGGACACCCTCGCAGCCCACACACCCCTTTCTTAGACACAGAGACAGAAAACCCAGATGGACACCGGATGGACAAACACACGCTTCTCCCCTTTTCCGTACCTCCTCCCTCTCCACCAAAGAGCCTTTTACAGAATGTTCCACCCCTCCCGTTGTGTGGGAGGGCTGTGCAGTGTGTGCATTTGGTGCGCCCGCCTGCAGGCTGAAGTGTGCGAGGTGGCTGTGTTTGTGTGTGCCCAAGTGTGAAATCACACCCGCAGGGGTCCTAAATAGAAGGGAGGAAGGGCAGCCAGGGAGGCCAGATGTCCTGGCAGTGGGCCACTCCAGCAAGCCTGCACATCTGGAATGAGACACCCCCACCCCCTCCCACCATGTCCCAGACAGCATTTGGCACAGGATACTGGCTGTAACACTTTCGGTTTATTGGCTGGGATGCCCTGGTTGTGGCCGACCAGCCACTGGGCCTGAGAGAAGGCCTGTCTCCTTCCCCACCCTTCCCCTTCCGCTCCCCACTGTGCTCCCGTGGGACGCGTACGGAAACTCATGCCCCAGGAAACAGTGGGAAGTGGAGGCTCAAAATAAAACCAAGTGAGGCCGGGGAAGGGCCGGGACACGGATATTACAATGAAGATATGCACCAGCTATACACAATCCAGCACGCAGAGGTGGGCAGGACAGGTAGGAGGGTCCCGCTGACAGACCCTCCCCCCCGCCGGCCGGCCCCCACAGAGGAATGGCCACTTCAAGTGTCTCAGTGAAAGCTCTGGCTCCCCGGCCCTGGGCCCTTGCTCAGGTAGGGCCAGCGGGGGAGGGATCTGGGGAAGTGGCTCATGAAGGAGTCCAAGTCCCTGCCTCCTGAGGACAGCCGCATCCAGACCATCGGAGGGTGGGGACGGGTGCTCCCACTGTCCAGTCCAGGTGACAGGGGCAGCGGTCACTTCCTGCTGTGCAGTGTGTCCTGGAACTTGGTGCTGGTGTAGCGCAGGTGGAAGCCTTTTTTGGTGATGGTGTCGTCGGAGTGGAACCTCACCAGGACAGAGTCTCCCGCCGAGTACACCTCCTCAGGGGGCTGACGGAGGAAGGGGATGTGTGAGGCTGAGGACAGGCCAGGGCGGCGGTTTTCCCTCCCTACGGCCCTCTGCTCTATGGAAGGCAGGCTCCGACTTCCACCAGGTCCCCCGACCCCTTGAAGAAGGAGACTCTTCTAGTGGCCGTTTAAGGGGTGCCTGGGGGAAGGGAGAATGCAGGGGGCAGAGGAGCTTGTCTTAAGTCCAGAGTAAAACGTCCATTCTCAACCGGCTCTGTTACTAACTAGTTCGTTGTGAAGTTTTGGCAGTGTACTACCTTTCGGGACCTTGCTTCCCATAAGTACAAATAGGACCAAAGGCTATCTGCCCTCTAAGCCTAGAAGGTCTGGGGGAGGGGGCACATGAGCAGGTGGCTGTGGAGGGTTCTGCAAAGGAAGTAGATTCTCTGAGTGGCTGCCTTCTCGCTGCCCAGCTGTCTCCTGGAGAAGACTGGACAGCTGGGTTCCCCGGACCTGGCTCGGCCAACTCCCAGCCCCCTCCCCCACTTCTGGCCATCGTCAACGCCAGGTGATGCCCCTTCCTAGGCTCCTGCCAGCCCCTCCTCACCTCTGTACAGACCCCCAGAGTGAGAGCCACCCGTAAAGCATCAGCACACAGATGCCCTGCCCTGAAGGCGTAGGAAGGATCATTTCTTAGAACCTTAGGGACATTTCTGGCAACCATGCCAGGAAGCCCTGATGGGATTGGGCTCCTTCCCCAGGTCCCCACCTGCTAGCTTCTGTCTGTGGAAATCTCTGGAAGAAGGCACCTAGGGCACCCGAATGTGCCAGATCAAGGAAGTGACAAAGGCCAAAGTGTATGAGGGGTGCCCGTTTGGCAGCCAGGGGACTCCCGAGCCTCTAGCAGGGCAGGCAAGGGGACTGTGTGCCCCGCTTCCCGCTCCACCTCCCGACCCCTCACCCTGCCCAGCCCTTGCCATTCAACAGGCTGAAGCTCTGCTCGAAAGGAGACTTGCCACAATGTTGGGTCCAGCGGCTGCTCCAGCTCTGGGAAGTTCACCCTTCCTGGGGCTCCCAGGTGGCCTGGAGCACGGCCCTGAGAGGCGGGGACCAGGAGGTGATGGGAGGACAGTCTGGGTATGCGCATGAGGTGAATGAAGGGAAAAACTCTGAAGGAGGACAAGATTAAAAAAAGAGAGAGAGTGAAGGAGCCACAAGCTCTGACTGGGGAACATAGGTCCACCTTTGTGGTTTTCCTGTGGCCTCAGTTAAAACCCTATCGAGCACACTATTGCCACTGCCTCTAAAAGGCCAAGAAGTGGTGCTCAGGGCCTGCTTGGACAGCAGCAGCTTGGAACCACTGTCCTCTCACCAAGAAGGGAAGCTGGCCATGCGAGAGGAGGGTGTTTTCGTGGCTCAGCCTGAGCGGCTGGTCAGCACAGCTCACTTAGGCGCTGGTCCCTGGCTCAGGCCCCCACCTCTGAGTCCTGGTGAGCTGCCTTGGGCTGGAGCAAGGGATGGGGTTGGGGCATCCTCCTCCCCAGGTGCAAGCTACGGTGGAGGCCCAGCCAAACTGCGGAGGCTTGAGTCAGGGCAAGGCCCATCCCAGAGGCTGCAGGAACCTCTGTTTTGCCCTAAAAGGACCCGTTGTCCCGGGTGGGGATGGCCCAGCGTAGGGCAGGCCTCTGTGATCAGCCAGCCAGCAGGTCTCTGGGCCTTGGCCAAGGGCCAGTAAAGGCTGCCACCCACCATACCGGCACCCCACGCCTGCAGAGGCACTGGGCCTCTGGATTGGGCGAGAGTGGGACCTCACCCCGGAGCCACAGTAGCGCCCCAGCCTGGGGGCTGTGCTGTCGTAGCCATCAAAGAGCTCCATGTAGTCGTAGCCACAGTCTGTCTCCTCTTCCACCTCGAAGGTCTGGAACACGAGCTCCACACCGTAGCCTTCCTCTGCCACGATGACCCACTCGCAGTCCACCCCCCCGGGGTAGTTGTTGTCGCCAAACTGGGCATGGGAGTAAAGATCCTTGGACTTCACCTCGGCTCGCACCTGGCCTCCGCACTCTGTGGGGACAAGATGGGCCATGACTCGCCGAGCTCGGCCGCGGCGGCCTGCACCCCACCACGCAGGCCTCCAGGCCGGCTGCAGGCCCTGCGAGGCCGCATGGCTAGGGAGGGCTGGGTTTGGGCCTGGCTCAGGACTTGGCCCAGAGCATGGGGGCCGGGGGTGCACAGGGTGGGGCGGCTCAGAGCAGAGGCGTGGTGGAGGGCATGCTTGTTGAGAGGGGACATGGCTAAGTCCTCCAGTTGATGGATGTCATGGAAGAATGTGGGCCTGCGCTGCCAGATTCTATTCTTAAGAGAGAATAGGATCATCCAGATTTTATGTGAAAACTCCTGATTTTTAAATGTTGGCTCACATTTTTAAAAAACACAGTGTGGGCCAAGCACTCTGACGGCCAGATGGGGTTCCGGGCCTCTAGCCTGCGACTTCTGTGCTGGGAGGGGAGAGCATGCAGGGCAGGGCCACGGGCAGCTACCTCCTCCGGACGCCCTCTGGCCTCCAGGACACCTGGTGCTCACCCTTCCCTGTGGGGTGGGGCCTGGGGGGAGGCCTGGGGCAAGGACTGAGCTGAACTATGGAGGGGGGACTGTGACACACCCGCTCTGGAGAGACCCCAGCAGGTGGCTGGAGACCCACAAGGAGCCTACAAAGCCCTGATCCATCGCCCTGGGTCTGACAGACGTTCTAGGCCTCCCACGACTGGCCTCCAGCCTTTCTCTGCAGCCAATGCCCCCACTTCACTGCTGGCCTCACACATCCTTGCTCTGGCCAAGCTGAGTGATCTGCTAGCACCTGTACCCACTCAGAGCGGCCTGGGCTGGGCTGGGCTGGGCTCCTCCCCTGTGACCCACCAGTCACACCCTGAGCGATGCCCTTATCATGTTTTGTCTCCTGCTGTAATCACCTACGCAGTCCGCTGCTCTCCTAGACTGCGAATTTCTGGGGTGAGTGGGGTGAAGGGCTCAGGTCCGAGGCATAACCATTGTCCCATAGCCTTCTTGCTCATGACCAGAACTCGGTAAATGGTTGTTAAATAAACGAACAAATGAACACAGAGGAAGCCCTTCAAGGGCTGAGTTGTTTGTCTGCTTCATACGTTTTGTGACCCGCACTTAGAATGCTGCCTCATACATGTTACGTGTTAGTAAGCAGGTACTGAATGAATGAAGAGTGAATTTGGGGACAAAGTCCAGTGTCCTAGCACTGGGAAATCTGGGGATTCCCTCCCCGACCCGGATTCCCTACCTCCTGTCGTCACTGCCCTCCGAAGGGCCACCTCCCCAGCCCCCAACCAGAACTTCCTCTTCCTCGCCCAGGAGGCTCCCTCTCTGCTCCTCTGGCCTAGTCCTCAGCACACACCGTCTCTCCAGGCAGGCCCAGGCTCGGTCTGCCTTCACCGGCTCTT